AAATTCATGATCCATAACCTGTGCTATAAGACTTGTTAAATGAAAATTTCCAGCCAGAAGGGAAATGATACCAGAAGGAAATTTGAAATTCGACAAAGGTGTTGGTAGCTTCAGAAGAATGTGGTACTTCAGAAGAATATGGTATGTATGACTGTTTAGAGAAAAATACATATAAATGTATTGTGATACATGTAGCATAAATAAAAATAAATTGCAATGATAGTAGTAGAACAGAGGACAGACCAGAGAGAGGGAGTTTGCTGTCACAGGGTTCTTACATAAAATGGGAAATAACCATATGTAAAAATGTAATTATCATCATGCATTGTTTAGTGACTAGTTTATGTTCTGAGAAATGCATCCTTAGGAGATTTTATCCTTGTGTAGAACATCATGGAGTACACTTATGCAAAACCTGGATGGTGTATGTCAATCCCTTGACATGTCCTCTTGGTACAGTCAAGACACACAGTCAACACTAGGTGTGTGAGGCTGCTGCTAGTGTAACAGCATGCTGTGTTACTGTGATCTTTTTGTATATAAGTAGAAGAAATATACTCTAATATAACAATGAAAAATCTACTGTAGTAAATAGCTAAACCAGTAGCATAGTCACTTATTATCATGCTTGTGTGTGCTATACTTTTATACTACTCACAGGCAGTGCAATAAATTTGATTATACCAGCAACCCCACTAGCACACTAAGTTGCTTGGGCCTTGCTAAGTTGCTGAGGCTAACCTTGAAATTGTGATCCTCCTGCCTGAGCCTCCAGTGTCACCGAGATTATAGATATGCACTGAACTGGCCCTTGAAGATGGAATTGAGACTGGCAGAGAAGAAAGAAGTGGCCAGGCCAGGCAAGGAAAGCAAAAATAAGGGACAGCCTGCCTAGAGGGAGAGCTGTGGGCAGCAGCGTGGACAACAATGATGGGGACATATATTGGACCCAGACAGAGGGGAGCTTTGAATGACAGATGTAATGGTTAGCTGCTTGTTTTTCTTTCCTTTCTCGCTCTTTCTTCTCATAATAGCCTTCCACCTCTGTCCACGTTGCTCCAGGGGACTCTGCCCACCACAGAGCATACACCACCCTCTGTCCATAGTGACAGGTCCATCCACAGCCTAGGATGGCCCAAGCAGAGCCCTCCCTTTCAGGCTTTCAACTAGATAGGGTATGACAGAGGACCGGTTCCCCCTTTTCTAATTATTAAACTTGAAGGATGACAGCTCAGAGCTGTCTTAGCCCACTTCATGGAGAGGCGACAGAATTCACACATACTAGATGCAGAGATAAGAGAAGGAAAAGAGAGTCTTTGGTTTTCATTGTCTTCACCTGTCTTTCCCCAGGCTGAAGGTGTGAGTAAACAATTTACTCCCCCCCCCCTTTCTTGCTTAAGCTTGATCAATCCTCTTCTGCCCCCTTCCACCAAAGATTTGTGAATGGTACTCATTATCCCTGAAAGCCTGCCTGTGTGTTAAAGAGCTGAAGGGAAGCAACCCCAGCCTTTTGCATGAGGTTTGTAAGTCTTTAGTTCCAGACTTTCACCTCGATGGAGGGGACACTCTTACTGATGGGGTGATGCCCTTGGTCCTTGAAACAGGAGGGATCTTTGAAGTCATCTGGGCCCAGAGTGTGTTGTGGTTTGCAAACTGAATTTCCTGGAGCTGGTGGCTTCCACAGGAGTGCTGAGGGGCCTCCAGGAACTCCTGATGCCACTGCTGTAGATCTCAGGGCACTGGGATCCTCTGGGCAGAGTGTGTGACGACCTTGTGCTTATTTATGCTGTTGTCTGACATTTCATGCACCCTACGAGGAAACTGTTTCCTTATACAATAAAAACCCCAGAAACCATCGTGGAACCAGCAGAGAAGAATGCTAGAATTTGAGTCCTCCCCAAAGAAGAGGGGCTTCTGAACAAGAATTCAGAGTTCCCTGAGTTCCTTCTCTCACTTGGGATTTTCAGCCCAAGGGTACATCAGCTTCCACTTAAAACTCGGGCTCAACCGTGGGCAAAACTGTTTCCCTTGGTTCTTCAAAGCACAGCTGAGACAACCTGACATTTTCAGAAAGAATTTAACTAAATACGAGGGAAGAACAAAAAGGAAATAATAGCAGACGGTACAAATAGTGAGTTTCCAGGGCACTGGCTTCTGATCCTAAGGTAACCAGACATCCGGTGGTCTTAAGGATGGTGAGATAATTTGGATTATTGTTCGGCAAATAGCTATTCCCCACCCCTTCCCACTCACTGCGTGTGGATTGTACATTCTCGTCCCGTTGGTGTGGAGCCAGGCCCTGTGATTTTCTTCGTCTAAGGGAATGTTAATGGACATCATATGAACAGAGGCCTTGGATGCATTTATTTATGGGGCTTGACTTCTGTATTCCAGTGATGTGCCGTGAGAAGAACGTGCCTTGGGTACCACTTCCCTTTCCACCTGGACGCCACAGATGGGAACCCAACCTGAAACCAAGATGGCCACTGGCTGGCCCACAGCCTGCAACTCAGCCTCCCAGGCAGCCAGCCCATCCTAGATTAGCTCAACGACAGAAAACCTGCAGGCCACAAGCATGGCATGAGCATGTGGTAACCCCTGGGTCCTGGGACAACTTGTTCCTCATAGCTGACTAATACAGATGACACGGTTATTGGTCCTGTCTAAAATCCCTTCCTTGTCCTACCCATCTTCCTGCCTGTTGCTCAGGTACTATAGCAGAACAACGTGACTTTGTTTCTGCTGGCCAGAGAGCTGAGCGAAGCAGAGGACCTGCCTCCAGCCCCCTGCTGAAGGAGAAAATCCTACTTAGAAACAAAACATTAACCAACCAACCCTGCTTCATCACTCCATCCTAGAGTGGAAAGCAACCTTGCTATCCATAGTTTAATAGGATGGTATATGGTATATGGTATGGTATGGTATGGCATCATTCAATATAGATCTGAACCAGATAATAATGAACAGAGTGAAGAACAAACCCCGATTTACCTCCATCTGCCTGTGCTCTTCCAGCAGCTCAGGGCTGATCCTTTCCTGCTCTGCAGAATCAGCTCCACTTATCTCTCACCACTTTCCCACTGCTCTTCCCTAACCGGATCAAGCTCTCCCCAGCCACTCCCCTGTTCATTTCCTTACAGAACTCAGAGGTATGATTTGACACTTACTCTTAGGAATATTTGTTCAGTGTCCATGTGTCCCATCAATGGTGGGCTTCATGTGGGTAAGGAAACACTTCAGGTTGATTTGTGCTCAGCGTTGTGGGCTCAGTGTCCAGCACTGTGCCTGGCACACAGAGCTCTTAATAGGTATCTATGGAATCAAATAGAGTTGTATCTCTCACCCAGCCTCAGAGCTGCCCTTTCCCTAAATAATCATGTGGGCTTTTCTTCCTCTTTGCAGCACTTTTTATCCCATAAGTCACAAACTAATAAGGTCCTGGCCACCATTGTGAGGTCCCTTTGGGGGACTTCAAGGTCACAAATGTATGAATAGAAAGGGAGTCTTCTCTCTAAATAAAGATCTTACTGTCTACACCTTGGATGTGAGGGCACATCTCCCTTCCTTAATGAAGGGGGAGACTGAGGCACATTGTCACCCAAGTTTACTCAGCTGGCGGTTGGCAAGCATTGGAGCTGTTGACAGGAAATTAGTTCTGCCCTCTTCTGTTGTCACTGTGGGCACAAATTGTTTTCCTCCTCTAACGATGACTTTGGCACCAAATGCCATCGATCTGAAACTCCCATTCCTTGTTAAGCAACCTTGGCTTTGGAGGTTCTGTGAGTGAATAGGGACAGCTTGGGAGCCTTCCACTGGCCAGGTGTTCAGTAGCAGCTGCCACTTCCCTTCCTTTGTTTTTTCTACCATCCCTGGTTTTAACCCTCATCTAGAAGGCCACTTTGTCTGGGACAGGGAGATAATTTAGTCCTGCGTCTGTTTGGCAGTTCCCTGATTACCAGCTGAGCCTGATTACACAGTCTGCCTGTCCCAGGACAGATGTGGGCTGCTTCGCAGGAGGAGAAGACTGCTCCAAGTGTGCCACTGTGTTGGAGTCTGTGTCCAGCACCTCTCTGTGGCTGACCCAGATGCAATTCCCCCGGGGAACCAGCTCCCAGCACCACGGCTGGCTTCAAAGCACCCTTTTATTCTCCAGCAGGGGGTCCTAGTGCATAGACCAGGCTTGCTGTCTCTTTCCAGACCTTAGATCTGCCCCTTGCATTGGCAATCCTTGGATTTCTTGGTGGTTTTTACCCCCTTTCTCTAGAAAGACAGCTTCCATTCATAAATTTAATAAGTTTAGCCAAAACACTTGGCAAAAGCTTACTGAAGGTTTCTGGGTCAGAAATTTTGGAGGTGAATTGAGTAAGACACAGTTCTGACCCCCAGGAGCTCTCAGATTAGGTAGAGAGAGACGTGTAGTGTGTACAGAGTGGGGAGTTCGAACAGTGAAAACTCCAGAAAAGAGACCAGTTTTCTCAGAGAAAGGGAGGAGGGGAGTCGTTCTGGAAGGCATCACAGAAGAGGTGCCATCTTGTTTGAGACTTAAAGAGAATAAGTGGGATTTACTGTTACAGGTAACTGTGTAACACACAGAGGCGTGGAAGTCCAAGGTGGGTGAGGTAAGGGAGTGCATGGTGGATTGGAGAATGGCGAGTAATCAGATATGCCTGAAAGACCACGTGAAGGCCTCGGGGAAGGGGAAGAGTGGAAGATGAGGCTCCAGAGTTGGGTGGAGGTCAGAGGGTAAAGGATGTTATATGACAAGCAAATGCATTGTGAGGTTTTCCTTCCTCTCTGTAGCACTTTTTTATCCCTTAACTCACAAACTAATAAGGTCTTGGCCACAATTGCAAAGTAGAGTTACAGACGAGGTACAAATAGCAGCACCTGTTTGATCATGGATCAGGTCATGGAGTTTCTATGGGAAAAATCCCATTTTTATGTGCTAGATTAAATATTTTTTCTTATAAGACATATATCATAAGTAAGCCCAGGGAGATTACTTTTAAAAGATCCTTTTGTAAGATGATTGTAGGATGATCTCACCCATTGAGTGATTGCTGTGTGCCAGACACTGAGGAAGCACTTGATGTACCTTTGCCTCACTTAGCCCCTAGAACAATACTAGAGGCAGATATTACTTTTATTGCTCACATTCGGTAACTGAAGAAAGTATCTAAAGTCCTGGGCATTTGGTGTGTGGTTTATTTGAAGCCGATCAGTCTGATTCCAGGGACTGTGAAGTAACCTCTATGCAATTTGGAAGACAGAATTCTAAATTAAGAAATGCCAATTTCTTTGCAGGTACTGAGGAACTCCGGAAGATTCCGAGCAGACATGAGATCTGATCTGTTGATGGACAATTTCTTTTCTGAGCAAATAAGGAAAATAGAAGAAATACTTGCAGAAATTTCAAGGGCAGCACTTGGAACAATGTCAGACATGGGGCACTGGGAAATGAGACCCAGGGAGGCCAGGATGGCAGGTTGTGTCTCCCAAAGAAAAGCTTGATGCTAACTGTACATTGAAGCAGGCACGCTGCATAGAGTGGCAGGACTGTGTATCTCAACAAACAGCCTTCTGTGGGTCCCCATGTCACAGGCCCTGGCTGCGAACTGGCTTTTGCAGTCATCTCTGTTATTTACCCGCAGCCGAAACACATGCCACTAGGAAGCAGAGATTCTAACTTAAATTCCTTTTGTCACCATGTCACTGAAGCCAGAATTCTAAAGACAATCTCATGATGGTAGGTGGAAAATGCCTTTATCGTTTTTTGGTCCAGTCCCTTAGAAGGATGGATGTGCATGTTTCTCAACAAGGACAGGTGAAACTTCATGTGTTTCAGAATTCCTGACACTCAAGATGTGGCACTGGAGGCCCCTGGAGGCACTGCGCTTGGATTCCCCAGCTCAAGGCTTTCCAGTCTGTATTTTCTTTGTTCTTTCCTGACTACCTTTCCAAACGAACCTCAGATTTTCATTCCTGCTCTTCCTGGGGTCTGCAAATCCTCTGTAATGAATAGCCATCTGCAGATTCATTTTTATGCGGCTTCCCCTCCCCCTTCAGATTGGTAATAAAAATCTGAAACACGACTAAACCCAGTACTGACCCCTGCTGCACCCTGCTAGACAGCCCCCCCTTGGGATAGGCTGCCTTTTATCACGGGCCTTTTTTCTTGCAGTTGTTTGTCCAATTTATAGTCATCTACCCCTATCCTCAATGAGGCAGCCCGAACAGATTGTGAAAGTAAAAATGTGGAGAGCCATCCCCAGCTTTCCAGTGGAAGTCCAGATCTAGGTCTTTTTCTGTTCAGCAGGAGGAAATCTGGTTAAAAAACCGAATTGCACCACATGAAGTATGTATGAATGTAACTTGAGGTGATGGGGATAGTTGACTGAATGTTCCGTTTTTCAACAGGTTCTTTGGCACCGTGTGTTCACAACTTAACAAACGCTGATAAGGAGAAAATACGTTGCTCAGTCTCTTTTGAAGCCAATCAGTCTGATTTCAGGGACTGGAACACATAACAACACATAATCACAAACTCAGATCCGGGGCATTCTGTGGCTCAGTGTCTTCCGATGTAAGTAAAGTGATCCAAGGCGTTTTTTTAGTAGGACCACAAAGAATTATTTATTCCCTAGAACTGCTTTGTCCTTTGACACAAACACTCCCCCTAATTGGGACCCCAATGCAAGAGAAGCCAAGCAGATCCACTTTATTTTTATGGATCTCTTCCACTCTCTGGAAACCCTGGGAGAAGAGGAGCTTCCTGCTCCCCAGGGCCTGCATTCCCAATGTATGGCTGTGCTATGAAATATAAACGCACCTGCTCCTCCTGGACTGGATTCTCTTTCTTCCTTTTCCCTCCTAAGACACAGGCCCACGGCATCAAAAGCTCAGGTGCATCTGGCCACAAGAAGGTGTCTTTTTAGGCTTGGTTTGTCTTTGCCTCAGTCCCCTCCTCATGGTAATGAAGACGGACAGAGATTTAAAAGCAAATCCGATCTAAAAAAAAAAATAGGACAGGACACTTTCTAGCCCACATCCCACACAAAAGAGAGAGCAATCCCAGAATGAGCTCACCCCCATCTCATTTGTAAGACCTTTCTCACGCTCTCAAAATAGCCAAAGGGTTACCCCCTTTCAGAAGGATTGTAAAGAAAGAGATTTCAATATTTAGTCTATGTGTTTTAAAATATTTGTGACATTTTTCCCACTCAGGAACGCTGGAACACACCAGATCGCCCACACGGGAAGCTTCAATCCCTTTTTTTTACATCACGACTAAAACAAGAACTTGAAATAAGAACCCTACCCTCCTCGATTTTTTTTTTATTCCATCGTATACAGAAAAGAGTTCATACGAGTGAAAAGGATTGGCTAGCTCAAAGAATATCTTCAGTGACAAATACACTATTTGCACTCTTAAGATATCATTGTCCATGATGAAGAATTTCTAAAAACAAGATCTTTTAAATAGAGTCCATGTAACTGATTTATTTGACACACGTATGATTTACTGTTGCTGCCTGTTACATAGGCGTGTGTTTTTGTGAATGTATCTCTAAAATTCTTTATAAATGTAATTGCACTGGTGAGCAGTCTCGTTGATGTGGCGACGTGGGCGCTCAGCCTGGCTTCCTTTATGTTCGCACACGGGTCTCAATGGCAAAGAAGTGGGAGCTGTCCAGTTTCCGAGTCCCTGAAGCCCAGGTTGTGTTTGTGTATGGGGAGAGTTAATGAGAACAGAATGGCTTTCTTCCCCCAGCTTCTCCAATCCCATCTGTTCAAACAAAAGGCTGAAAGGGAAGCAGAACCGAGACCCTGCTGGTCAAGGGGGGAGGAATAATAACACATATCCTTGGGCGACATTTCAGCACATGCAACCCTTTTATACTGTGCTTAAGCTTTTATTCAGACAAAAGGAAGTCAGGCCAATGCAGTTTCCATTTATTTTTAAAATTATTAAAAAAAAAAATACATTAGGCCCAAGGGCTTCGTTGTTGTTTTTTTTTCCCCCAATGACTACATTTGTCAGCCTAGATTGAAAAATGAAAAATATAAAAGGAAAAGAAAAAAGCAATTTGATTCTAGCGAAATATGCTGAGTAATCCACCTGCATGGGCAGCTGTGGAAGCCTAATTTCACTTATTTTGTATGAAATTCAAAAATGCAAGTAATCAGTGTTAGAATAAAAGGAGTAAAAGAAGGTACTTCCCTCACTTCCTAAAGACAGTCCATGAAACTAGTGTAATTTCCAGGAGTGGACAAGAAACCAGTTGCCTTCTGACCTTTAGGTCATTGGCTTATTCGTGGAAGCTTGGCCAGCTACTCGGGAGAGTCAGAATAACTCTCCCCAGAGCCGTTAGTTCATTGATGTCCACTGGCTCCTAGAGATGGCTCTGGAGTCCCAGTGGACAGCCTCAGGGTTGTTTCCCTCCCCCCACACACAAGGCTGGCCAGTGCGCTGATAGATGCTGCTATTCATCGAGAGGGAAGGTTTCCTGGTTATGGCTCCACTAAATTTAAGTTGGAACTAACAGATATTCTTATCATAGCCGGGAAATCGAATTTGCCATCAAGCCGTCAATTTTCTTTTATCTGTATTACAAAACTTCTATTTTCAGTCAGTCCTCACAGTCACTGTGTTGCCTTCCTTTTACAAACAGCCTTATCATTTTTTTTGGGGGGGGGGAAAGTGTCTGAAATGAATTCTATTCTCTCCTCTTAATTCCGATGCTATCACACCTATGATAAAATAGATAAGAAAGGGAAGATAAGGTTCACCAATGCAGCTGAGGAGCTAAGATGTTTAGATCGTTATATGTTAATAAACAAACAGCCATGTCTTTAAAATATTTTCCAAAAACTGGAAAAAAAAGAGGGCTGTGGAGAGAGAGAAGTGTCATCTTAGGATCTCTTGGGAATTGGGAAAATCCAAGGAAATTCCAAAGGAAATACTGATGGAATGAATACCCAAGACCCATTGAGGTAGGAAGTGTGGCTCCTTTGACCGAGGGTCCCTCAGCTGCCCACTGAAGGCAAACCAACGCTTATGCCTAGGAGGTATGGCTTTCAAAACAGGGAGAAATAGTCTGAATTAGGGGATGGGGCTTTGAAGTTCAGTAAGGCACAAGTCCAGTGCCTCTCGACCATCTTGATAGAATATATTGTCATAAATGCTCATTTTCTTTGTATTGTGAGCATTCAGCTGTCCATGGGAAAAGCAGAGAGGGGAGCCCAAAGTGGTGATTGGCAAAGCTGTATTATCTGGTTTTCATCTGTGTTATATTCTTCCTCTTTCTCTCCTTCTCCTTCTCCTCTTTTTCTTTCTCCTCCTCCTCCTTCTTTGTTCACAAAGCATTTTCTTTTCTCATTATTTACTTTTACTTGGGCTAATTTTAAAATGAGTTTTATTCCCCTGGTACACCGGTCAGTGTTGACCCAGAATGAAACACACACTCTCGACAATCCACAGGGAGTAGAATCCACGACATTAATAACTGGTACCCTGCATGCATTTGCCTCCTGTGTTTCCCTCCTTGATCTCTGAAGGAAAATGGGAATGTAAATGCACCATCTTTACAGAAAATATGGGTTCTTAAAGGGTTGGCTCCAAAAAATTTTTTGGTGAGCAGAACTAGGTTTTGCTGTGAATGCTCAGCATAAAAGTCAAGCTGCATACCATGTGAAAAGTCTTGCTCTGAGGGGTAACCTCACTTAAAGAATAGCAAAGCTCTAAAGATCATAATGAAGGGGCAGAAAGGTGCGATACCTTGTCATCATAAGGGTCATGAACAATACACCTATAACAAAAGACAGGTTAACAAGAGAGAAGCACAGCAAATGTATTTGATCATAGTTTTATGGGATTCCAGAATCTTCAGATTGAAGACTTGAAGATTCTGGGGAAACTGTTTTTACGGTTAGATTCTAAAAAAAAAAAAAAAAAATGAACAGTGGAGTAGAAATGTGATTTGCGTTAGCTCTTTATCGCTGTGACCCACTTACCCGACACAAACAATTTAGAGGATGAGGAAAACTTTGTTTGGCTTGTGGTTTTAAAGGTCTCAGACCATGGTCAGCTGGCTCCAATGCTCTTGGCTTGAGACAAGACAGTACATCCTGGTGGAAGGGTGTGGTGGCGGAAAGCAGCTCAGCTCATGGTAGCTGGGAAGCACAGCGGGGCGTGGAGGCAGGGCAAGACATGGTCTCCAGTGATATGCCCCCATTGACCTACTTCCTTCAACCATGCCCCACTACCTATAGTTTCTACCTCCTCCCAGCAATCCATTCAAACTACTAATCTACCAAGTGGTTTAATCCACTAATAAGGCAAGAGACTTTATGACCTAAACACGTCCCCAAAATCTTACTGTGGATACTGCTGTGTTGGGGACCAAGTCTTCTTCAACACATGAGCTTTGGGAGAGAACATTCCAGATCCAAACATAACATGACTGGATGAAAGGAGTTCACCTTAGTGGGAACAGAGTAGTGGGAAAACCCAACAAGGCTGGTCCGTGTAGCATTTCTTCCTCCTATCGAGGATCCTCAGGGATGATGATCTTTAGAAGATTTAAGGAAAACTATTGAAAATATATTCTTCTGTTTAGCATAGTACTTGGCTTAGGATGAGTACTTAGAATATAGTTGGTCTTTGCCCCGGGTTTTGGTGCAGAGTTCAAAATCACATGGAATTTCCTAAGTGATAGGAGTGCCTTTATTTTCATAAGACCCTCTTATACCTGAGTTTATGCTGATGAGAAACTCATGGTGGGGCCTTAGATTAATTCGTGGGAGGGACCAGGGACATCAGAAGCACCAAGTATGTGATTAGAGGCTGGAATTTCCAGGCCCCCTCCAGACCTCCAAGGAGAAAGGGACAGATGGAGATTGAGTTCAATCCTGTGGCCATTGGTTGAATTAATCTTGCCTCTGTAACGGGCGCCTGGATAAAAATGCTGGACACCAAGGTTGAGGGGAGCCTGCTGGTTGGTAAAGAGATGGACGTGCTTTCTCACCCTGATACCTCCCAGAGGCCAGATAAACAGGATGGTTTCAGCCTGGTGACGAGGTGGAACTTCAGCATGGATGACTTCGTTTTGACCTAGTACAGAAGCTCAGCCTAAGACAATGGCTTCCTGAAATTTTTGTCTGACATAATAGAACGTTAGTTGTAAGCATAGTTCTTTCAGTGAATTCTATGTCATTCTAGAGAATAATGGACTCTGAATATGATCGTGTGGACCCCGCAAAGGTACAGCCATGTCAGGCAGAAGCACAGGTTTCCTGGGGATACCACGTGTGGCTGGCGTTTGAAGTAAGGGCAGCCTTATTGGGGACACTGCCCTCCGTCTTGTGGGATGCTAACTTCAGGTGCTGTCAGAATTGAAGGACTTTGCCCTTATATCGTGGGGAGTGTCCGAAAGGCATTACAAGACACCTTGTTGACTTGGAGACTAGCTGTTCAGAACACAGGAAGTATTTTCACAGGTCATAATAAATAATATTAATAAGCACCCACTCTGTACCCGGCGCTCTGCGTCTTAACATGTATTGCCTAATCCTCACAACAAAACTATTAGATGTCATTATCATCCCCATTTTACGTACCAAAAAACTGAGGCAAGGAGGAGTTATTTCAATGTTACACAGTAAAACTGGGATTTGAACCCTACCAATTTGGCTTTATAGCCCATATCCTAAACCACTACCCAACCTAGTCCCAATACTTCACCCTTTCTAATTGATCCTAAAAGTCAGTTTGGGCATGCCTGATGGCAAATACTCTTTAAACATCAAAAAGGTTTCTTCTGAGACACTTCATAAAAGGCTGTAATGTGGCTGTGAGTTCCCTGAGAATTGAAATGATGCCACCTGCTTCATCTCAACTCAGATATTAAGTGTGAAATTCCTCAGACCCTATTAATCAAAGCAATCACTGGAATCAATATTCATTAAAGAGCCACATGCATGAACAAAAGTTAATCACAAAGAAGACATAGATGCCGCTCCCAAATTGGTTCAGTGCAAAAGAAAGGATAATACTCACAGAGAGAGACCTTCCTTGTTGTCTTGGGAAGAGAGAGGGAGTAAGAAAAGTCACTTACCAAATGGATTTGAAGTACTTTACAGCTGTCCCTATTCTCTCCTCATATCTCTTCATATGTAAAGTATTTTCTATTTGGAGGACAGAGCAAGACTAGATTAATGGCAGGTCTGGTGACCCCTATCTGTAAAGGGTGTTGGCCTCTCATAAAAATACTTAATAGAGTTCTTTCCCTTTAATTGCATGCCACAATCTTTGGGGGCCCATCCATCTCTATGGATGCTCCATGCACTAGCCTCCCTTTGTAATGTGGCTCTGCCTGAGTGTGGAATCAGCTGATGAGGCCAGGGGTCCCAAGGCAGTACACCATCTGGCCAAGGTCATGGGTGGCAGATTACCAATTAGGAAGCATGGCAGGGAGGATGTTGTGTGGCTGGGGGCCAGGAATAGATGGTGGATCAGGCATTAGTAAAGAAACTGGTATAGGTGTTGCAACAGATTAATACACAAATCTGTACTCTCAGGGGACCTGCATAAAACCTGAGATTTGGTCTCTGGAAGCTTTCAGAAGTGGAAAACGAAGCAAATTTATTAAAAGATGTGCCTGCACCTGAGAGTGATGTTTCTCAAACTTTCATGTGTATATAAATCACCCAGGGATCATACACAGTTTTGGATTCAGTGGATCTGGGGTGGACCTGAAATCCTGCACTTACAATAATTTAAGAGATGCCAATGCTGCTGGTCCATGGACAACTCTTTGATGCAAGGTGTTAGAATACATCCCACCTGGTTCTGTGTCTGCTCCAGAAGACCTTACCTATAGTAATCTATGGCATTGGAGCCTGGCTTCTTTAGACCTGTCTTCTACTCCAGCTTCTTAGATTAGATTCAATGATAATTTGTGCTGTAAATAGGAAAGATCTTGTCCTTACACTTTATTTTTTCTCTTTTCATTTAACTTTTAAGTATACAAGTAGTACATCTAGAATATTTTAGCAACTGCAAAAATCATATCATTTACTCTTCCTCATCCATCTCTAAAATACTCATTATTTTTCCCCACAAAGTTAATAATAATTCATCTCATATCCTAATCCATGTTCAATTTCTGTAATTGCACCCCAAAACTCTTTTTTGTGCCTGATTTGTTTGAAATCTAAACCATATCTACACAATGCGTTCAATTGGTTAGACTCTTTAATATTCTCTTTTAATCTCTAATAGTTTCTTCTCCCTTCCTCTTTTCTGTGTCATTCAATTTATTTGCTGAAGAAACTATGTTACTTGCCCTGTGGGGTCTCCCTTATTCTGAATTTGCCTAATTGCCTCCTCCTTGTGTCATTTAACATGTTCCTTTATCCCTTGTATTTTCTATAATTGGGTATTTGAATCCAGAGACTTCATTAGACTCAGTCTTTTTTTGCTTTTGCTTTTTGCAAGAATACTTTGTAAATGGTACTGTGTGCTTCCTATGCCATCACATTGGGAGGAACATAATGATGTTAGTTTTATTTTTAGAGATGCCAGGATTCATTGCTGGGTCCAGATGATTTGAACTGAATCAACTATTATAAAGTGTCCCATCACCCTTCCATCCAACAGTTTAGATGTCATTGATAATCCTCGCTTGCACCCTTGAAAGTGCTCCTGTAGCACCTCTCCTTCCCTATTTCAACACTTTATTCCTCAAACTTTCTCTGCTTGATGGTGAATCCCCTCAAGGCAGGATCATGTCTCTCTCTGTCCTGTGCACTTAGCCCAGTACCTGGCATACAGTTGGTACTCAAAAGTTATAGAATGAATGAATTCTGTACCCAACATCTCCTGAACTCAGTAGATGCCTGCTGTAGGAATCCTAGATTGCATTCTCTCTAGGGATAGTAGGGACTTTGAAGCCTTTTGGATATTTTTTAAAAATATTTACTCTTAAGTTTTAGGTAGACACAATATCTTTATTTTACATTTATGTGGTGCTGAGGATCAAACCCAGTGCCTCATGCATGCTAGACGAGTACTCTACCACTGAGCCACCACCCTAGACCCCTTTTTGATATTGAGGGCATTTCTCTTAGGAATTCTGCCCTGGTTGGACTCAGTGCAGGCTTCAGAGAGAGTTATTTCAGCCATGGCTGGAGTTGGCAAGTCCCATGGTACCACAGAGAAAATAACAGAGATATCTTTATAGAAACTTTTCTAATCTTTTACTGAAGAGACATATCCTGCTCAGACAGAGTCTCAAGTGAGCGTAGACATGTGCTTGCTTTGAGACCAATGAAGAGGCACTCCAGCCAAACAGGTTTTGAACAGTCATTGACTGAGGAGACCCTGAAATCCCATTTCAGAGTAGGAGGGTCACTGAAACTCACTCACGGGATGCCAGAGGATCTTTGAACTTCTTCAGTACATTAAGGACAGGGTAGAAAGAGGGTAGAACAGCTGAGTTTAAGCAGCAAGATGGAAGCTTTTGAGAAATGAAGGGTTGAGAACGGCACGCCCACTAGGGGGAGCCCTTTTCAGTGATGATGTCTGGGGTGTGCTGGACCAAAGAGGAAATGCTAGGAGGAGGTATTTGCTCAGGTCCTGAAGACATCCTTAAAAAAAATATGTAAGATGAAAAGCGATTGGCTGACTTTCCAGATTCCAGATGTTTGCAACCTCATTCTCTTCCCGACTTGCACTGCCAACATGAGTCTGCACAACTGAGGCCAAAGCCTATAGCTTAAGAACGGTTCTCAATTAGGGAAGATTTTGCTTGTCTGCACCACTGCCCTCCACCCCCTCAAGTCCTGCCATTCCCCATTCTTGTATTTTGAATCGTCACCAAAGAGGTGCCCTGCATGTGCTCAAAAACCAAACTGCCCACTGTGATCACTCTGTGACATCTATCACCGCTTTTCTCTTGTACTCCCCCTCTAATTGATGTCTATTAATTAGGAAGACTCTAGAAGGAGAGGCAACATTGCTACTTTAAATGGCATCCTCCTCCCTTCCTCTAAGGAGCCAAGATCCACTCCATACATTCTCAGTCATCATCGGTCCTTAAAGTTTTAATCTGAGCCGAGGTTCATGGTAAATAGAGAAATATCCTTTCCTCACCTCTGTATGCCGCTGCCCTCAAAGTTTTGCCTTCATGAAAGCAATGCCTGCTTCCAATGCAGCTAATTGACCAACACACACACACACACACACACACACACACACACACACACACGGGCTCATTTAAATAAGTAAACAGCAAAGTCCAAATCTCTTTTTAGAAAATAAGCATTTTTTTTTAAATAAGCAGGATCTGCAGAGAAGTAATTCTGCCCCGAATTTAGAAAACATTTTTCTATTTTTCACATCTCTCCTTTTAGTTAAGGTGTCTCAAGTATCTCACTGCCTAATTATAGGACCCGATTCTCATTTATATTTTTAAATGTTTATTCTAGGACATTTCCAAGACTAAAATTGATGTGTGTGTTCCATCTCTATTCCTTGTAAGAACTGAAACTCCTTACAACTTTGAAATCATAGTTTCAGAAGATATTGTACCCTTTCCGTGAAGGCCTCTGGACTATTAGGATAAAGCTTTAGGGCTGGAGATGTGGCTCAAGCGGTAGCGTGCTCGCCTGGCATGTGTGCGGCCCGGGTTCGATCCTCAGCACCACATACAAACAAATGTTATGTTGTGTCCACCGGAAAAAAAAAAAAAAACTAAGAAATAAATATTAAAATTTAAAAAAAAAAAAAAAGGATAAAGCTTTAGTCAGAATCCAGGTTCAAGTTTCTTGAGTTTCTACTCACCCCAGCACATAACCTGGATATCATCTCCTCCTAAGGCAATGGTCACTGAAGGCATGCTACCTTCCTCTGTATCCTTCTTTTGAAATTGCTGCATTTTCCTATTCAGGATCCTCGTCATGCCTGGGATGTCAGATCTAGAAGGGACGTTAATGACCTACATTAGATGCAGCAAATCACCTGACTCAAATTCCATCCTCACCTCCTAGTGTGTTTCTGGTACTGCAGCTGCTGGAAGTTCAATGTTTCATTTCCCAAGCTTTGCTTATAACCAGGGTCTTGCATGCAATTTAAGTTCTGTCATTTATATGCATGAATGAGATTTGAATATTGGAAGTCAGGGAGGGGCCATTTTCTTGTTCTATGGGCTGTTGTTTTTGATGAGCAAGGACAAGGACACAGCATGTCCTGCAATAATGTCAGTCCTTAACTTCTTGGTGTCAAAAGGTAGTCAAGGTGAAGGCAACCAAGGGTGCAGATGCTGGGTCAGCAGGCCAGTATGAACCTGAGCTTCAACATTTTTGGTGGCAGCTTTCTGGAGACCGAGCCTAGAATCCATTCCTCCACCTCTTCCAGTACTTTGCACTACCTCATTTCCTGCATTAAATCCCTTTCTGTTTAAAATGAACAGATTCCTATTTCCTGCATTGAACCCTGCTTCATAAAAGTTAATCAAACAATGAAGAATCCCCTGTCTTACTCACCATTAATAAAGGTGCAGAATTGGGAGCTCCAAAGCTAGCAGAGAGTGGGAGATGATGGAGAGGAAACTAAGCCAGGCTGTGGCAGGACCAGGGGAGGGGTGTCTGTTGGTTAGTTAGCCTCGGTTGATGGAGACCCCAAAAAGGCTTTACAAGTATGTTCAAGGATGTACCCGTAAAAGTCTTCGGCTTAACTGAAATACTGCAAAAGGTTCCTCGTGCCTAGACTTGGGGTTGAAAACAAGAATAGGCTTAGATTGCATAATCCACAGAAATATCTGTTAACCTAAGTCTTTTTAGATAAACCTGAGAGGAGGAAGGTACCGCTTATTAAATATGTCTCGTGTGCTATAAATAAGGTGGTGAAGTGATAAAAATAAGCAGTGGGACTGTGCACAGAAAGCCTGTGTTGACATCAAACCAAACCTTAGGCTTTCTGGCTGTGGATTATACCCATTGCTGAGAAGTTTAATTGCCCTGTTGTATCACAGCATGTTATTTGAATAACCTATAAATTTCTGGCACAGTGATGTATGACATTCCTGGGGCATACTGTAGATTCTCACATCTGTTGTTCAGGGTAAATTCTGCTTTACCATATTGGAAATTTCCTACAGTTACAGGTCCAGTTTTGACACAATTATCTGGCATAAGAAACAAACTGGAGGGGTAGAAGGAGAGCAATTAAAATTTTTGTAAAAATGAAAATGTAAAGGTGAAATGCTCTTTTGGATAATAAGATAAGGACCAAAATAAAACTCCCAGGATCACTGAGAGAGAAACAGAATGGCCTTGGACCCTGGATAAGCAGATGTCCTCCCGTGTTCTCCAGAAGGTTCATCACAGCCCACCAATTCTGGGCAATACGCAGAGTACTCCACTTATGTCACTTGTGCAGGACCTACTCCAGGGACAAAATGCTGGGTTCTGGTTTGCATGCTTTCCCAGTGGTCCTCTCTTTTTTTGTCACCCCAGAAAAGCTTCTGCACTCATGGTTACAGCAAAAGGAGACTGATTCAAATAAGTGGCAGGAAAAGGCACTGAGGCAAAGTCCAGGAGAATCGGGGGCAAGCTTCCAGGTGTCCCCTTCCAATAAAGTTGCTTGGGATGCGTTTAATTCTCCCAGCAGCTGGGTGTGAGAGGAGCACATGCAAATTGCTGCCTCAGTGTCCAGGGATTTTTGCTGGGCTCTGTCCTGTAGACATCCTGTGCTTGTGTGACTTCAGCTACTCAGACTCTGCCCCCTACCCCTGCAACAGCCCCCCAGACACACACCCAGAGCGAAAGCCAGGGCTCACCACAATTCACACTGTTAACATAAACTACCTGGTAGAACTGGTACCATGTGGCCCAGGGCTTCAGGCATAGAAAAGGCCTTTTGTCAGGCAGAACATTCCAGAGGCTCAGAGCTCCTTCTCCCAGGAACTGGCCAAGGGCTATTCCTAAAGTCAGGCATTCCTTGGGAATGTGCAGGTTTGAGAAACTCAGACCCCTGAGCTAACCCTTTTCTTCCCTTACAAGGAGGGAAGGGTTGGGAGCACCCTTCCTGGTCAGTGGCCCCAGGACTGAAGTCTCACCCCATAGAGCTCCGCGCCCCACGAGAGCTGCGTCTTATAACCACAGGCATTCAGTCAGGCCTCTGCACCAGGCCCACTGATTGGTCCATGTCCAAAGTGCCTGTGCAGAGCTGCTGGGAGTGAAGAACCTGCTGGAGGCAGCCGAGGTCAGGAGTTCCTCAGGGGGACCTCAGCCCTTTGCCTCTTTCCAGGATCACTCACTTAGGGCTGAGATCTGGGGCACATCTCCCAAATCTGCTCCTCTGCATTGAGTCAGCACGGTCCCTTATCTGTACCGCTGCAGCAGCCTCCTGGGCGGCTGTCTCTTCCCCTCTTCAGGGCTCCTCAGTGGCTCTCCACGGCCTACAGGAAGAAACCCAAATTCCACGACTTAGAATGGAACATTCTCTCACCCCCACTGCAGCCTCGGTGTCTTCTGCTTCTCATCCTTGTCCTTGGCAACCCGAGTCGCTTGCAGTTCTCTGGTCAGAGGTCCTTATTTCTTGTCTGTCCTGTGCCTTGGCACCAGCCCTCCATCCTGAACATTACCTCTTCACCCTCAACTCTTTCCTAACCAAGCCCACATGTTACCCCAGAGAGTCTCCATCTCCCTCCTCACCTCCACAAGCCAGGTCAGCTGTCCTCCTCTAAGCATGATAATGATCTGTTGACTTGTCTATCTCCACTTCTAGACTATTCTCACTAAGGACAGATGATGACATTAATTTTTTTTTTGTCCTAAATGCTCACCACAGTTTCCACTACATCATAGTAGTGGAAATTTCTTGGTGCAGGTATGTATCAAATGCATGAAAATTTCATGACTAGATATGAGAGTGAACCCATCTGGAGCCAGACTTGACTTGTCTGCATTTTGAGAATTCTCTCCTCTTCTTGGGGTAGTCTCTGGCCCCCGTCAGAAAAGCAGAGAGTCTGGGTATGGGCCTCAGTTCTGCTGCTAAGTAGCTGTGCAAGCTCAGGCTAGTCACTAAATCCCTCTGAACGTGAGTTTTCTCTGAGTAACACAGGGAGCACAAGCATAGGATCATTGTGAATATTAGATAAGGTCTACGAAGTGCCCAGCTCAGTATATGCCACATTGTGGGTGCCTCACATAGGAGAATGCTTTTATTGGTCTTTGTTAACTTCCTTCAACATCCTCTCTGGTCTCCTACCTGGGTCCCGTGGAGTAAAACCCTCTTTGCTCTAGCTCTCCTGAGTATGCAAAACTCACATTTAGTTGGTAGCAAAATGATCTCTTCTCCTAAGACTGGAATTTGGGTGGGAGCAGAGGAACTAAGTCCCCAAGACTGAGGTCTGCTGGCATGGTTTACCTGGAGTCTTTCTTTCTAGATCTCCTGTCACTTGCCTCCATTGGCTTTCAGGAGCTAATTGGCCACCATGTCCCCATGTCCTCTGATTCCACCTCCTCAGAATTCTAACTCCAGTTCTCATTACTGTTCCTAGTAGACGCTAAACCTTTGAAGTCATGGCCTGTGGTCCAGTCTCACACTACTGTCCAAGTTCACCCTGCTCATGGGGTCGGCGTGAAGGCTAAGTAAGAGAAGGACTGTGAAGGGTTTGGCTTGATGGCCCACATTGTAGTGAGTACTCAATAAGTGGCCATCGTTGTCAGATCCATTATCATTCCTCAGCTTAGACATTTTCCCGGGTCTGCCACTGTTACAGCAAAGTTCAAATTCCTGAGTGCGGCTTTCAAGGACCCCGATGATCAGAATTCTACCTGCCCTGAACTCCCCCAGCTCTGTCTTCGACTGACATCCCGCTTCCATTTGGAATGCCTCTTCCCCACTCTGCCTGTTGAAACCTGCCCACGGAGGCCAAGGGCAAATACAATTTCCATGAAGCATTTTCTGATTCACTTAGTTATAATTAATCACCTTTTCTCTGGGATTCCCATAGGGTTTAATTTATATTTCCATTCTTCCTGCTTTTTGGCCTATGTTTGTGTGAGTTAATTCTGTTACCTCCCTCCAAATAGAGAATAACCCCACAGGGCAAACAAACATTGGCTGAATTGCTGGTACAGAGATGTTTGGCCATCCGCAGTTGAAAATATGTGGGTGGGACAGGCCCAGCCTGCAAGTTCAGAGTTTCAAGAAAGGCGATAGGAGTACAATTAGAGAGTGCATGTGGCACTATGGCAAAGAGAAGCTTATCAGCATCAGGGGGACCAAGCTCAAGTTTCTAAGGGCCAGAAATTTCTGTTAGTACTTCGGAAAGGTTGTCTGCCCTTCAGAGAGGATGTGGACTTCATTTGAGTAGAGACTGGTCTAAGATTTGCTGGCTCCACTTTATGAGCCATGCTGCCTCAGGGACACAGAGAGTGGAAGCCTCCAGGTATGGTGGTGCATGCCTGTAATCCCAGCAGCTCAGGAGGCCGAGGCAGGAGAATCTCAAGTTCAAAGCCAGCCTCAGCAATTTAGGGAGGCTCTAAGTAATTTAGTGAGACCCCGTGTGTAAATAAAATATTAAAAAGGGCTGGGGATATGGCTTGATGGTAAAGTCCCCATGGGTTCAATCTCCCCAGTACCCAAAGAAAAAGGAAGTGGAAGCTGTTTATATTTGTGCTTCCTCCTCCTTCACCTGTAGTTCACAGAGCTGAGCACAGGCTCCAGAATTCTGCACTGATCTGAGGAGGAAAAAAGGCTTAGGGATCAGCCCTCTAACCAGTCACCTCGTGTGGAAGGGATGAGATTCCACCTGCAGGTGGCTCTGAGGGTAGTCTGGTACTTTGGCCAATGAACAGCAGGAGCAGGTAGACCTTGGGGGCAGGCAAACTTGTCCCTCAACTCACATTTTGTCATAGTTCCATCTCAGACACAAAACTCCCCAGCCTTTCCTTCAT